CCCCAAAACCCCAAAACCCCAAAACCCCAAAACCCCGAAGAATAGATAATCCGAAGACTTAGAGTAATCATTAATTACAAATAAACTCAAATAGCATTAATTCAGGAGTTTAATCAGCATCATTTCATTTAGTTTGCTAATGACCTTATTTGCTTTACAATTGATTCTTTTCAATGTATACTCCAATTTTGATTAAATCTTTAGAGACTTTCTTTGAGGGATTCATTATTAGATCAAACTTCTCCTATATGTCCTCATCTCCAATATCAAATCTACTTTCATGTACTGACTTCTAGATATATTTATGGAGTTTTTGCTTGAATTGATGCTTAGCTAGGAATGGCAATAGATCATCCTATTAAAAAATTTAATTTCTAATTTTTTATTACCTCAATACTGAGTATACTTATATCATGATCTTCCTCAATATCACAAACTAGCTTCAATATCCAATACTTAAATAAATAAACTCCCACTGAGCTCACATCAGTTCTGATCTTTAAATTGTTACATCTATAGAAATAAAGATAAGCAGCATATGTTACCTTCTTAATAATGATGGTCTAATTGTCAAGTCCATGTTCTCACTCTCGATGTTGGTAGCTTTAAACACTAGTCTTTTAGATGGAGTTGAATCCTCAAATCTTTTCTCAGTCCAAGAGCTAAGCCCAAAGATATCATAGTTTCCCTTTTACTTAATTGAGAAATTGACATCTTTCAATAGAATTGATGCTGAGTTCTCGGTGGTCTAGTGCACGTTTATGAATGTATCTAGAGATAGATCAGTCAGTGTCTCTCCATTCATTACAATGAAATCTCTCTAAAATTGTTAAACTCAGGATATCATGGATGAATTAAGCATACATCAATTTTATCCTATAGGAGTGAAAGCACATTAGCTGACTCTTCCTCATCCTGTAAAGCCACAATCTCTAATTCTAAATCATTAGTATTGACACTTATTCCTTGCTTAATTGTGCTTTCCATTTTCGAGGCGTATTTCCTCTCAACTACAACTAATATATTGTTGAGTTTATTTCTCATAAGATATTCAATCTAGTGGCAGATATGTGGCTTATTGCTGACAATTTCGAAAGCTATAGGGTTTTCAGAGTTATTATTTGATCTATAGCTTAGAATAAAGAAAAATATAGCTTTACGAGCTTTGACTTCCTGCATGCATTATAATGCTTAGGTATTCATGTCCCTCCTTATGCTTTTGCTAATCTTTAGCTGATTAAGCTGATGATCTATTGAAAACCTTGATTGTTTCCACAATCATATTTCTATCTTCCATTACTACTAAATTATTAATTATTGATAAATTTTAGGACTAATGTTTATATACCTAAATCATCCATTAATTCCATTGCGGGGTTTTGGGGTTTTGGGGTTTTGGGG